CCGGCTGATTCCCCGCATCCCGGTGCATCTGAAGTTGTACATTCCTCTGTAGCGCGACCGATGCAAAGAAAGCGTCCGGGCACATGCCACGGATGATACCTGAAAGCATTGCCGTAACTCGGGGATGCATCGTGGCATTGAGCTGTACGCCGGTGGAGTGGGCGAACGTAAAGGCTGCCGTGGAGAAGCATTTCTGGTTGTGCTCCCCCGAGCAGAGTTGTTGGCAAGGCCTTCTCTGGCAGGAGGTCCAGTAACCTGGCGATGTCATCGAAGGTAGCGTAGCCAGCCTGCAAGATGTCATAAGCCAGATGCTCGGCACGAGAGTCCTGTGGCGTCGGGGCCGTGCAGATTGTCACACTGGAGGTGTCCAGGGTCAGCCTCACCTCTATGTCAGGAATATTCCACTCCAGGAACGGCGTATCTGCGGAAGTGGAGCTGGATGAAAGTACCTGAGCAAACGAGGAAGTGCAGGGCTGGATCGTCGCCTCAGTGTCCAGATCTATAGGGTTGTTAGGGAGCTACCCCCCGAGTCCACAGAGATCAGACTACGTGGCGAGGGGGTCTCAGGTGGGATGGACCAAGTGTGGAGGGAAGCTCCGGTTCCCAAGTCTCATCCGAAACCCCTTCTCGTTTGGTCGGGATCATGTGTGCTCGGCCGCTGTGTGAGCCGTGAAGTGGGGCGGCCGGCGAGGTAATGAGATGCTGTATTCATTCGGTTGCATGGCAAAGGGCATAAAGCTGGCAGGCAAGTGCGAAGACAAGGAGAATATTATGAGAACATTACAGATTTCCCGCGCTCTGAATTTGCAATAATGTGGTCCCACGGCGGAGCTCCCAAGCCCCACGGTTGCCTGGCAAGCATGCACTGCAAGCCAGGCTGCTGGATAACGTACCTGTGTAGAGTTAATGAGCACATACAATTCTGGAGACCGAAATCTAGGGCCGCCAACAAGCGCAGAATCCTCCGGGAGCTGCTTTGGCTCGACCCCGTCATCGCAAAACCAAGTCTCACCTGAGTGATGTAAGAGAGCCGTGCAATGGCCAGTAGTAATGCTGTGACCATGATGAAGTATGGCTGCTTCGACAGTGTAGACGACGTTATGTGACTCGAGGCCCTCTGCGCTAAGGCATGGGAGATTGAGGGTACGGGGCCAACTGATGGCGACGTGGTTCTTGCGTGCACCCTCAGGCCCGAACGAGTACCTAGAAAACTGCAACATCAAAAGCATCGGAGGGCGTCTGAGTGCATGTACTGAAGGTTGTGTGTGCCAGTGGTGCAGTAGCAGCTGGGCACTCAACTGATCCCCCGCCGGCAGCTCCAAAGCCACGGCCTGTGCGCATTCAGCATCTTCTGTCTGCCTGACCTGTGCATCCTCTAGCCTGCGCGCGCACCAATCCCCGGCTATCGCCTGTGAACAGAGTCGGAGGCACAGATGGCTCAGGAATCGGGCCCAGCCCGACAGCATAAACCTCCACAGCAGCATGCCTGGAATGAAGTGCGGTTTGTTGGGCAATTTCTGAAGAAAGGAAACGGCCTGAGCACCTGCTGCACTGAGTCCCCTCTCAGACGCCACGTCCTGGGAGCTACGCACTGTGCTTTCGAGGGTCCATATTCAAGTAGCAATAGTTGGTAGGGTTGTTCAAGACGAGTCGCACCAGCCAACGGCGTGCTCCATCAATTGCTTGATGACTGGGGGCCGTTGTGTGGTGGAGCGGCGGAATTGTAGGCCCGCCATCTGAAGGGAGGCGGTTCCCTGCAACTCGGAGAGGTTCTGAAACATCTGTGTCGCTTCTGGACATCTCAGGGCCACATCCATTAACACACGCACGGTTTGGCCTTCCATCTGCGGTTCCAATTGCTTCAGCACATGGAATCTGGAAAGTGTCTCGCGATGCGTCAACGACTGTATGTCCGCCTCGTAAGGAAGCACACTTCGCGATGGATCCACTTCCAAGGCCTTGAGCTCCAGATTCCACCAGGAAAACCCAATGGCCCAGCTCGTTCACCCAACTCGAGTCCTTGGCTTGCTTCTTGCTTCCCTCGGTCATATTCGCTAGCGCGTTGCGGAAAAACTGTAGCATGCTCCAGAACATGGCCTGGCGTAAGGGGGTCCTTGATCTTGCTGTCCTTGAGAACCAGCTGTTCTCGCCAATCCCCGCCGCCTCGATCAGCGCTGGGATTACGGACGGTCCCGGAATCCTCAGCCACTAAACCCAGCCTGTGCTCGGATGGTGGCCTCCTGTTGGTGAATGAGCGCGCGGGTCACGAGCTTCAGGGCTTCTTTGTTGATGCTCACCTGCTGTCCATTCGTCTGTTGAGAGCCTCTTGCTCCACCCCCACAGCGTCCCTGAGCCCGACGTTGAGGTCCTTTCCCCTTGCCCCCATCGTTCTTAGCACGCAGGCTTGCCACAGGGGAATGCAGGTGGCCAAATGTTGTCGGGGGTGAGCATGTTTGCGGTTACAGTAGAGGCACGGGGACAGGGCTGGTGGTGGTGGTGGTGGTGGTGGCAGTGGCAGCACTCCCCGTAAAAGGGCCTTCTACATCTTGCAAGGCTTCTTGAACTCCCCAAAAACGCGTGACAGCATGCGCGACCTGCCACCAGCCCCTCTGTTCCCCTGCAAACACGAAAGCAGAGCAAAATGTCCAGGTGATTACACACGCACACACAACACAACACAACCCTTTCCCCAACAGGCCGTAGAAGGGCTGGTGGGAGGCCGTAAACGGGCTTCCTGGCCCAAGAGGCCGGAGAAGGTGTGTGGAGGGGCTCTGTCCAACCAACAACGGAACTACCCTCCGCTCTCTGCATGCATCAGACCCTGGGTGGGTCCCAGCAAAGGCAGCTGGGGAATGCACTGTACTCCTTTCATCTCACTTGGTGTGCCATTCCAACAGATCATCCGTTTTTTGCGTGCCATTCCTGGTGCCTGGCATGCTCACGACCAACATTTGTCGTTATATGATGTCCAGTTCATCGTCCTGTCACTCGTGCCAAGCAAAAAAAACTCTGTGTGTGTGTGTGCGCGCCAGTATGTGTTTGTTATGTGTTGTATTGTGTGCAGTGAGTATGCGTTCCTGTTGCATGTTCTGTGGTCGTGTGTATATGGAGCACGTGGGGTGTTTGTGGCAGGTGTGTCCGTGTGTGTGCGCGAGGGCGGGCGCGGGAGCGGGTGGGCGGGCCGCAGCGGGCGAGAGAGCGCGACGAACAACTAAAACCACGCACAAAGATGTAGGGAACAACAATAATTAGCGAAGACAACAAAAACAAAGGGCCCAGGGTACTCTGCTTTCCACTGCAATGGCAGCACAAGGCCCAACCGCTCTCAACAAAGATTCAAAAACAGCACAAAGCACCAGCAGGTGCCGACTGAAGTTTCAACTTGTCCCACCGAGCCCGGGCTCAAGTCAATATTCAAAAGCAAGCTACTTCATAATTGCACTATAAATTTGTCCATATCTTAAGCCCTATGTTCGGAAGGACAAGGTTGTTTCACAGATTAAAGAGCCAAGCACCAGTCTGCACTTCTTGTATAAGCGCCAACAACTCCTCCTCACTGCCTTCTAGACCCATCTGAACAACATTCGTCCCCATGGCAAACGTTGGAGTAAAGATCTCGGGTTTCCGTCCCTCACCGAGCTTCCACGTCAACTGTTGCGCCCGACGCTGACTGCCGTGAGGTGAGGAGCCAAGCTCAGCTCGTACGAATCTGGCAGCTTCCGTGACGATCTCATCGGGAAGGGATGCATAGACCTTTGCAATCTCCTCCCCGTCCTGGAGATGGATGCCATTCCTGAAGATGAGTGGCGCATCCTTGTCCCCGACGGCCCGAAAGCCAAAACGTGCGAGGAAGTAAGCCAGGTTCCATGCGAATCCCTGGATGTTTCCGGTGTTGACTACAACATCCCAGACATGGTCCCTGTTCTGCCTCACCACGAGATTGTAGACTTTTTTAGCAGCAGAATGGTTACGGAAATTGATGAAAGCAAGCTCGATGTTGCAGTCTGTGTGCTTGTCGAAAGGAACATAGAGAAAGTCTATCTGGCTGAGCTTGATCCTGTTCTCCCGCAGCCATTCCAAGATCCTCTGTGTGCCCCAATCTTCCGGCAAACGCCGGATCATCAGCGTCGTAGCTCCATCTTCCAGCCCACTTCTCTTCAAGGGGCAGCGCATGTCGAAGGAAAGTCACGAAGCTGTCTGAGCCCCAGCCCTGCACCCGAAACCCTACAACCTTCGGGGCCTTGATTTTTAGAGTAAATTCAATATATTCTAGATTGATGATACGAAGAACCAGGGAATAGTTTCATTAAGTGTTCAGACCCCTGTAGTACAACCCCCCAAACCTTAAACTTGGCCTGCGAGCTGCTCTCGAAAGCGCAACGACATAACCTAAGCCTCACTTGAAGGGAGTCCCTAACGATTCTTTACCAGTTCTAAGGTCTCGGGACTGTGGTCTTGCAGATCTGATCAACGGCCAAGGACCGTTTGAGCCAGGATTCTACCGTTATGGGTTATACGGGTTTACAATTAAGGATTTTATTCCTTGCCTGGAAAGGGCCGAAGATTGAAAGCTCAGCGCGAACTGCATGGTTAAATGCTGGAGACACGGATAATTATCCTTGTCGCTCGCTGGTGGCTTACTTTCAGCGAAGAAACAGTTTGCCTCGACCTAGCCAGAGTAGCCCTGACCGCAAACCCTGAGGCCGTAAAGTTCGCAAAGACTTCAGGAGTTTCGGGAGATTGCAAAGCTTTGCAGACCAGCTTTGGGCCCCAACCCAGGGGCAAAGACACACTCACAAAGGCAGCGCTGAGAAACCTGGCTTGAACACGAAGGTACTACAGGCCTCGAAGCATTGTAGCCTGGAGCTTTCAAAGGGGGTTCGGGCTTCTCTAAAGTACAGTCAAGCCCTTGTCCTTAAACTCTGTGAGGACATGCGACCATCTGAACCCAAAATCCCTGGCCCGGACAGATCCGACCAAAACCCTACAAGCAAAGGCGCCTTTGTGACCTGGTGCTCCTCCGGACTTGCACGGCCGGGGGACGAGAGTTTAAACAATCAAAGAACTACTCAGGAACAATTGTTTGTAGAGGAAAGTTGGAATCCAGATCGACGACAGCCTGACATTACTTTACTTGCTATGGTTGGCTTCCGGAGTTACACTAAGGCCTTTTTGGAAGCTAGTAACAGAATAACTAGAAGCATTTGCAGGCCGGGAAGGAGACCTCATCAAAACCAGGATCCAAAACTCGAAACCAAAGCCCTCACCTGCTCAGGAGCTTTAGCGGCTTCAAAGGCTGACCGTGCCTAAATCTCAATGCATGCAATCGACGAATACATGGCATGATGCTGAGGTGAAGACTCCATTGCTATTCCACGCTGCTTGAACCCCGGAACGCAAGATCACTGCAAATCTTGACTTGGTAAGCCAGCGAACCAGAAAGAGACAGCGTGAGAGAGCGAGAGATAGGGAGGTAGTCCTAATCCCGATGAGTCGACTCTGACTCTCTCCCCGAAGTCAGCCCACTTCTGCAAGTCTACCCTTGATAATCTCCGTGCTCGAGAGAACGGCCGGATGAACGACTCCAATCAGGGGGTTAAAAAACCTCAAGCAATCAACAAAAGGCCGACACAACGCAGACTCCTCCAAGCGCTTCCGCAACGGTTCCAGGTCCGACTTTTCCTTGAATTTCGTACTGTCACCGCGTGGCCCAAGGTTGTTGAGGGGACTTGGGGGCTTAGGGTTGAGGCTTGGCGGGTGGTGGGGTGGAGAGAATTCGGGTTTAATGACATTTAATGATTGCAAACAAATGTTATAAGCCTGGTTCATCTCTTGGCCAGCAGAGGATTTGAAGGGTTGCAGCCGTGCTTTGGTAGGGCTTGGGCACGTTAAGGATCCATAAGCCAATGGGCCGACAGCACCCGTTGTCCGGAACTGCTGCTACGGGCTCCTGCGTGCATGTCATACGGAGAACGTCCCTCGCACAAGCCATGCCAACTTGTCCGCTCCTCAGAGTCCCAGCGGAGGGCAACGGTGTGTAATACTTGTCTTGTGTTCGGGGGCACCACCAGGGCGGGCTCAGTGGTCGGCTCCAGGATCTGGGACACACATCGCCCATCGAAGGCTTGGGGTCTCGGCTTTTTGAACGCAGCGCCATGGCCACGCATTAGGATTCACAAAGATCGGGCGATGTGTCCCTCATCGTAGGGTCAGAGCAGGGGTTTGACACTCACAAATGTCTCAGTTCGAGCTGAGATGGACAACGTGGACATGACACCCCAACTCGCAACCTGCAACGTCCGCCCCACATCGGGAACCCTGAACCTCGCATGTCAAAATCTGAGAGACGTGCAGTTGTGGAGCCTGAAGCCCTAAAACTTCTAGCCCTACTACCTCACACCCCTAAATGCCCTTAGTTCAAGACCCTCTAACCCTATTTGCCCTTAAAGTCCCTACTACTCTAACGCTCCCGAGGGTCGGCTTTGGGATCCATGGCGTTCGCCAGCTCCTCAAAGCGAAGCCGCTGCCAATCCAAACTCCAAGATGTGCATGAGCCACTTGAAAGCTGTGTCCGAACCCCTTATGTAACCTGGTGAATTCAATATGTCGTCGACTGTTCTGTTGTTGGACAGCCTGTGCCACAATCCTCTCGTATTGCCTCTTTTTGCACAGATTGGTCTTACCCTGAGAATCCGTTATTGATTCTAATCAATAAGGTTGTAGTCTTATTGATTCGAGCGTTGTTCAATATTGATTTGGGTGCTGCTGAAATCAATAGTCGAAATCGATGGAAAACAGCACAATAGGAAGCACTATAATCAATAACATACTCGATGGAAAATGCAGCTGCGCAACCATCTCAAAAAATCTAACCTGATCAAATATGATCAAGTTTGATAAAACCATGGTTTGATCACAACCATTTTTCGTGAGTTCGAGCAATAGCAGAATCAATAGTCTCATCAGAATATCTTGCAAACAAATCAATAGAGCAACATCATTATACATCTTGATTATATCAATACAGACGCTGCAAATCAATATCAACAAAAATCCTATGCTTTGAATTAATTAGGATCAATAAGGGATTCTCAGGGTATATCGTAGTTTGACCCGGAATCCCGCACCATAGAAGTGGCCTGTTGCGCGGACGAGGCCCTAGTAAACGGGTTTCTGGTTTGGTACAGCGTCTCGGAGGCTGCAGGGTTACAGCATGCATCGCTCGTTAGCGACCCTTTAGTTCGTATAGTGTAGGCATGTTAGGCTTTTTCAGGTTGATGGCTCTGGAGGATTCCGGTTGCAGGGCTTGGGCTGTAATTGGCCTTAGGGTGGTTCTGGCCTTAGGGTGGTTCCGCTGGTGAGTCTGAACAGGTTTGAGTGAAAGTTGTTCGCTCCCCGCCTCCATGTGCTATTTGCACTTGGTGCCGATTTTACTTGCGTGAAGTCGACTCCCCCTGCTCTCACGCCAGTATTTGTGTGAGGTCAACCAGTCTGCATACACTCGGCAAGAAACTGAGAAACTGCAGACGCACGCGGGGTTTCAAAGTCTGCATCCGATATGTAAAAGCGACAGCAGGTGAGCGTGCAGCAACAGTCGGCTAAAACCACTGAACACCGGAAGTGCTCGCTTTGATTCAGAAGGTGCTCCCTGGTCGTACTCGTAAACCTTTCCAATGCGCCACCACTTGCATTGTATGTACATGTATGTACCAAAGCTTACTTATCGACGCCCTTCTCCGTGTTCCACAACTATGGAGATGCCTGTGCCTTTATGATAATCGAAACCCGAGCCCCCCGGAAGCCGAGATGCAGGTGATTGTCAATAATCAATAGCATTTGAACCCAGAGCTGCTAGTCCAGAACCTGGGTCTTATGCAGGGTGCACGCATGGCTGTTCCACCGCACGAGGCTGGGATCAGGCATCCCGCAGTTTAAAGATGTAACTCATGCAGCAGCAGCAGCAGCAGCAGCAGCAGCAGCAGCAGCAGCAGCAGCAGCAGCAGTATCTGCACTGTAGCGGTAGTAGTAGTCGTCGTAGTAGTGGTGGTGGTACAACCGGTGTAGGCAGATATGCGGAGCTTGACTGCATTCGGTTTTGCGGGAAAGCGCGAGTGCCTTCTTTCGAAGACGCGGCAAGCGATTGGAATCTCAATCGGAACAGACAATCTATCGTTGATAGGCCAACGACATCTCTGCGTTTGAGGAATAAACATACATGCCAGAGCATCAGGCCGACTGCAGCGAATCTGGGGCTTCGTCCCGTGCAAGTCGCCCAAGTGCAATGTCAATGGCTTCAGCAACACCATCTTGAGTGCTCGGGCTCACGACAATATCAGCAGCGGCCACGGCCTTGGGCTTCCCGTCGCCCACAGCTATGCCCAAGCCTACCATCTCCAACATCTCGACATCGTTCTCCGCGTCCCCACAGGCCAAAGCGGAGTCCAGACTCAAGCCAAGGCCCTCGAGCAACTTCTTCACTCCGGAACCTGATGACCCTCAGGTTTACGCTCTCACAACTGTCATAATCCAGTCGAGGTCAATCTGACGCGGTCGGCGTGAAAACTAGTTCAAGCCTCCTGCTACTCGAACTATGCAGGCAGCACCAAGGTCTCAAACCACACACACACACACACACACAGGTAAACAACCGGCAAGAGAACTGGCGAACAAAAGAAATCATCAAGCAGTAGGGAGGTCATCTAAGCCGAGCGAACGATATCGTCCACTTCTTCCAGAGGGTCTACAGACATCTACAACTCCAAACCAGCACTCTCCAGGCTCGTCGCCACTTGACCGGAAGGTTTAGAAGCCTCTGTTTTGAGGGGGTCTGTGTGTATTGTCCACATAGAGTCGTTTGCTGCGCAATCCAGGGCGGACATATCTGACGACATGAAGTTGTAGTGTGATTCTGTCTGCCGCACCTTTGTTTACCCCAGGAGGCAGTATCTCACATTGTCGAGCGCCACAGTCGAGAACCGCGACGCCGGTGCCTGCAGACTTCAGACAGACTGAAGCGAAGATCCACCCGGACTCCATACTACAGTATGTTTGACAAGCCTCAACTGCCTGAACGCCCCCAATGGATACTGAAGCCCTGTGCCTCGACAAGACATCCCATCAACATCCAAGCTTGACCTTCCCGTCCTGTGGCCTTGTTTTGCACCCTATGGCCTGCCAGCGACCTTTGAAATGAGTCTACAACGTCTGCCATTGCTGCCCAGCCTTCCTCCGGGGTGACAAGGATGGGGGCGCGTAGGGTTTGGTTTCACGGTTTAGATCAGGCATCGAGCCCTGATTCGGTTAGGGCTTCCTAGAAGTGGACTTGCAGCGATCCGAATAGCAATCGCCTTCGCCATACGGTGTGCGAGAGGAGATTTGCAAATGCCCGCCTCGGGAAGGGTGAAGAGAACAAACTTGTACACGTCCTTGAGTGGTTTCAGCGTCGGAAGCAGTACCGTCTCCGGCTCCCCGGCACTTCTGATAAGGTCGGTGGCCCAAGTGGGTCCTTCCGGCGCTAGCCTTCCAGGCCGAGTGAAAGAAAGCCCTGCATACAACCCTACAAATAGAAGGCTGGAAAGCTCAAAACACTATTTGCAAAGCTCGATAAGGTAAGACGAAGGGCTCCGCATAGCGCAGGGATCCTTCCCACATGGTGGCAGCCAGCACCAAAATGCGGAGACCGCCAAAACGACCTCCGGACGTCTCTTCTAGAACGGTCTGCATTGCAGAAGCAGGCAAGCTCGACGCTGCAAGGATCCTCGGTGAAGATGGACCTGGACATGGCTCCAGCACGAGAGCGCCATTGGCAAAGACCCCCGGTCCCAGAGGAACTTGGGCACAAAGCTCATCATACCAAGGGCCGGGGATACGCCCGGTAGCTACACACACGGCCAAGCCCTCATCGAATGCCTTCTTCAAAGCCAGCTGGTTTGTCTTCGAGATCTTTGTGTTTGTGCCAAAGGGCATCAGTGTCCCATCCACGTCAGTGATGACCTCGGGATGGGACATGACATGCCCCGTCTCGGGACCGATGGGACATGCCCTGGAGCTCTTGCAAAAACAAGAAGGAACAAGACTAGCTGAGTCAAGGCTTAGTCCTCTTACCGGGGCTCTTCGCAAGCTTTACATCGACCAGCAACTAAGGCAAGGACCGCCTTGCAGCGAAACGTGCGACTGATCTCGGTTGTCATGGTGAAGGACGAACCCAACGCGATCAACAGAAACGAACGAGTTTTCTGAAATCGTCTCGGCAGTGGTGCGCGGACCGGCAGACGGGTGCGTAGCATTACGCAGCACCAAACATAGTCGGTTCTGAAGGCCGCAGGAGTGTTGAATGCTGCTGTCGCATGCGTAGAAACTTCTCTCAGTCACCTAGCGTTGAATTCAAAGCGGCGTGGTGTAAATAGCGTGATTGAATCTGCATTTGTTAGCTGCTTCTCGACCCGAGCTCATTTTCTTGAGTGCCCTATAGGCCCAGTCCACAAGCACTTCTGTCGTCAAGCTGAGCACTCCCACATCCTCAAAAATGTTGCAGACCGCAGACAACCCAAAACCTCCAAACTGGACTTGTAACCCCACTTGATCTCAGAACACCATGTGATTGCCAAGACGAGGCCTGCAGCTTCTCTTGGGCCTTCTGGAGCTCGTTGCGCTCGGCCTGCGCTCGCGAAAAAGAACAACGAATGTGGGTATGCCTGAGGAGCAAGAGCTGCGAGATGCTCGCCCGAGCCTGAAGATCCGATCCAACGTGCAAGGAGTGAGATGCCACTTAAGGAAACCAAACCCCTTCCGATCCTCCCAAGCAGCTCAAGGACGTCTTCTGTCGGGTCCTATCGCACAAGAACTCGCCGTGCAAACAAACCATAACAAACCTCTCAAGCGAGGGAAGCCAAGAACCCCTGCATGTCGAGACCCAAACTTTCAAACTTTCCTCATTCCGGCTCAGGAAAGGACCGACAATTTTCGTAACTCGGAAGACCGGTTTCTTTGAACCCCAGCATGCCCCCCCGCCCCCCCCCGCACCTTGCCCTCCACACCTTCGCCGAGGACGATCACCTGTACGTACTGAAAGGGCCAGTCTGCCTTATATGCTCTCTAATTAAGTTACGTGGTGGCATGCTTCAGCTTCAGGGTACCTCTGCCCAATGTTACCTGTTACCAATACCTACACACTCTTCTTAAGTAGCTATGCAGCAGATATATACATGCAGCACTTCCGCGCGTGCGGAAAATCAATCCGGTCCCTTGAACGGTCCCGAGCATAGAAGCTGTGCAAACAAGGCAACAAGACACTCGCTGGAGCTTTGAGGGAAATGTTTTGGACAGTTCACATCACGACTTGTTCAATCAACCTGCCTGAACCCCTACAGTTTGGCCTGCCCTGGCGAACTTGTCAAGCAAGCCTTAGTTTTCCTAGCTACTTCTTCACTTGACGCTCTCTTTGCCGCCTACTGCTTCAAAAAGACGTGTCCCTGTTGCCGGGCACGGCTGGGGCCTGCTCCTCAAGCCTCCGCAAGGCCATGTCCTGACAGCCGTATGGGTTGAGAGTCTACCTGCAAGCTCTATGCTTCCCGAGTTTGTCGTGAGCGACTGATGTCTGTATTCGTATATAGAGTATGTAGCAGTACGATGAAATGCACCGTCGAGCAGTGTAGTGGAACACAGTGCAATGATCATGTCGCTGTAGTGTGATGTAATGATATACAAGTGTCGTTTATGTCGGGTATGTAGCGTAGGCAAGTAGTGCACGGTATGCACTGCCCACCTGTCTTCACATGCATATGTATGTAGGTGGGTGGGTGGGTAGGTGGGTAGGTGGGTAGGTGGGTAGGTGGGTAGGTGGGTAGGTGGGTAGGTGGGTGGGTAGGTCGGTAGGAGGTAGGTAGGTAGGCAGGCAGGCAGGTAGGTAGGTAGGTAGGTAG